GCAAAAATAAGTCAAATAAAAGTTTATGTTCATTTTGAACAGGAAATATCCTTGATTATGCTGATTCAGCATGAATAAATATGGAATACAATGAGATTTTTAACATATATCATAATACAGAATGAATCTTGTCAAGATTCCAGTCCTTAACCTTATATTGTTTTACATAATGCTTTATTCGACTTTTCTGCTAATGTCAGCCCACTGATTCTGCCTTGGTTTGCTTAAGCTCCTCTCTCTTTTTTGGCCTACGATTTTTACATGTATGTATAATTTTATATTCCTGCAAGTCTGTGTAGTAATTGAACAATATAATCGGGAGTAATACTGATTTTGCCTTTTTGTATTTGCTTGTACTAATGAGAAGTAGTTTTACAAATATTAGATTACTTCTCAAAACTGTAGTTCTATTCTGACAATATTTGTAGAAGTCTTCTATAACTCAATTTTGAAATGTAGACAATGTGGTAACATATTAGCATTTTACCAGATGTCTTGAAAAGGGGTAATTTCTAGTTAATATGCCTTATGTGGTAGTATTTTAGAAAGTGTTCTGGTCAGGTATGTTACAATTTGGATAGTTAAGTTCTGCCATATAGGAAAACCAAAAAACACCAGGAGTGCCTGACTTTATATTAACCAAGAAAGAAATTGTAATTGAGAAAGTGAAAGTAGCAAAAACACATGGAGAAATGCTGGCATTCTTGATTTCAAGGAAAACTAAACCTGAATGAAATGGAATCAACATCTCTAACTTCAAAAGCAGAGATTTTGAGAATAACTGAGAATAACCATGTGTAGAATTCTATGACAAATAGGAAAAGTTACCCACGATAGGTGAGAAATAAAGTAAGGCTACGCAAAGCATTCAAAAGGACCTTTCACAAGCTACATCTTGCTGAACTTTTAGATGTATAGTCAAATATATACATGTACATTAGGCTCGTATAGTTGCTTGGAAGAATGCAACTGTACAAGCTTAACACTCAAAATAAAATTGGAAAGAAATGGAGGATAACATATTTAGTAAAATATGCAAAAACATTAATAGAGATTTCAAAGCAAAAGAGGATACATTTAAGAGATTTTAAGAGAGCCATCTTCTCAAGAAAGAGTGCTTACAGCAAGCCTGGAAGTGTCGATGTGGTGTGAGGAAATCTCTAGCTCAGAAGGAGTTAAGACTGGCAGAGAATGCTATGAACAAAAGAAAGACTTCCAAATTATGATCAAAATAAGAAGGAGGAAAAAAAAGCAATATATTCGCTCAGGGATCCACAAGAGGTGGAAAGATTGGGGACCACTGTACTAATTACTTAAAGAAGAACATTACATACGTAACATACAGTAGGTAATACAGGTACTCCTTATTTTTAGTTAGTTTAAAGATTTAGATTAAATCTTTAAAGTCAAATGAATTGCATCCTAGAATACTGAGGGTCAGGGGAATGGTCCGATCAAACATTTATGCATTATTTTTATGAATTGCTAGAGAACGCCAGTGGGAGTAGGAAATGTGCCGTTTCCTTGGCAGCCCCTGTCCTATGGAACATCTTTTCCGCTGAGGTTTGGCAGGCCCCCACCCTTCTGCTTTTCCATACAGCCTTAAAGACCTGATTTCTGGCCCTAGGCATTGGAAGATTAGATAATGATATGTTTGCATGGATTGGTGTCAGTTTTGGTTTTTACTTCTTAAAATATCTTTTGTTTTAATTGAGTTTATTTTAAAAATGATTTTATTGAGGGCCATACAGAGTTATATAGGTGACTATATAAACGTTTTAAACAAACCAACACATTTGGTAATAATGTAAGTCATACAACTGAAGAAAACTGGTTTCCCTATTTTTACATATGGCAAAAATAAGGATCCAGGAGCCAAGATTACTTGATCTGGCAATAATACATGAAAAAATACTAGAGCAAATTACAAAGATTATATATATTACAAATGTATAACCATTTTGAAAACAATGGTTGTATTACCACAAGCCAGCAAAGATTTTGACAAGAATAGCCAGACTTGTTGTTGGACAGTTCCTCTGTATATTGTGGGAATGCTGTAGGTTTAAGTATATCTTGATTTCAGCAAAATATCTGACAATGTACCCCAGGATACCTATAAAGGTAAAGGTTTCCCCTGCCCAGTCATGTCTGACCTTAGGGCACGGTACTCATCTTTCTTTCCTAGATGAGGGAGCCAACAATCTTGGAAGATGCTTCCATGATCATGCGGGTGGTATAACTGTATGCTGAGGTGCATGGAATGCTGTAAGGGATACCTATTTATCTATTTGCATGTTTGTGAATTGCTAGGTTGGCAGGAGCTGGGGAAGAGTATGGGGTCTTGAACTGCCAATTTTCTAGTTGACGACCCAGAGTTTTAACCGCTAGGCCACCACAACCTAAAATACGCTATATGGCATGACAATTAGCTAGATACACAGCTGGCTAAAAAAAATCATACTGAAAGAGCGCTTATGTCAGGCATGGGAAGTCAAGAGCATATGTAAACTTCAAAGCAATTTCTTTATTGCATGTTCAGGTACAGACAAAACTTGCTAGACCAAAACATGTTCTGCATAACTATAAACCATCAATGCTGAAAAGAAATTAGGGAGGGTCCCTCCTGGGCCACTTCCTGAACAGCAACAATTCAAGGCTGCTTTATGTTTTTCTCTATGTCCATCTCGCATAGCTCAATGCCAGATTCCACCATGTTTCAATGGTGATTCCTCATACATAATAACTGACTTAAATACCACAGTCTTACCCAAGTAAAGAAAAACTTATTAATATTGAGACTGAAACAGAACTGCTGGGATAACTAATACATATAGAAAATTCAAAACAATGTTGATAGGGTAAATTAATGGTCTGAGAAGAGAATGAAAGTCAGGGAGACAAATGCAATTTTCTTAGTTAGGCAATCAAAATTGAATGTAAATGGGACAGAGGTATATCTGGCTTGACAACAGAAATTCTGAAAAAAAAAATCCTGGAACAAGCATTAAAACTGAATGTATCAGATATGATAAGATTGTAAAAATGCCAAAGGTAATTTTAGACTGCAAAAAAAAAAAAGAAACATCATTCCAAATAATGAGCTGCAATTGTTTCAGTTTGTTCTGCAGGAATGCTATGTTCAGTTTTGGTAATGCATTGCATAAAGAATTTAAGAAATCTAGAATAGGTTTCGAGAAAAGCAACAAGGATGATCTGAAAAATAAAAACTAGATCTTATAAAGACAAGATGAAGAAAAACTTATCATTCCAGATTGGATAGCTGCAAACTGAAAACAAAGATGTCCCAAAATGGCCTAGGAACTTGAAATGATTAATTTCAACATTGAAACAATGAGTTATTTCAAATATCTGTTATAGAATTCTGATACAACACTTAAAATCCATCTCTTTAAAATATGGCAGGATCTTCTAACAGTTCCTGTACTAGTTTTATTCTCAAAGGACCAGCTAATATTAGATTTATTGAAAAAATAAACTGAATTTGATCCCATCCCCTTATCATTCCAAAATAATAGGTAACACAAATGCTATGTTGTTCAATTAGATTTGATACCTGCCAACTAAAATTCTAGAGATTCCATCCCACACAAAATATGTCCCTGTAACATACCTGTAAAGATGTGTAGAGGTATTATTTACCTGCTGGAAACCATAAACCAAACCAGAATAAATTTGGAATGCAAATATATATTTATATTAACTCAATTAAAATATGAATTAAAACTGTTTGCCTGTGATGTAATATACTTCATTTACAAGAGTATTTATTTCACTGCATGCACTATCCTTTCTTTCCCACAGAAATGTATGCATACATAAAAATACATTCCTTCCTCTCTCTTGCAAAATAAGACAAATAAAAAAATCCAGAATAGCAATTATGGGGCAAGAAGTATTATAAGAATCCCACCGAAAACTATATTGCAGAATCATATTGCTTTCCTCTGCAGGCACGCTAATATCCTCCCAAACTCTGCAGAGTTTCCTCTTTTTTTTCTAAACAGAAAGTGAAAGAAACTTCCAGAATTTACCAGTCTGAGGAGACTTTGGTGCTCTCTTGAGCTTGCTGTTTTCTTGCAGACATTTCATTAGCCAAACTAGATAACATCATGCACACAGATCATGCTACCTAGTTAGGGTAATGAAATGTCTGCAAGAAAACAAGCAAGTTCACAGAGCACCAAGGATCCCTCATGTCAACCCTAAGCTACAAATATTCTCTTTTATTTACCAGCCTGATTCCTTATGAGTTACTTTACTAATCCACACAGTAGCATCTACCACCAGAATGCTAATAAACTTTTGCTTAAGGTGCAAATTAAATTTCCTGTAGTAGATCAGACTGCTTTGCGCTTAAGCACTCATTATTTTTAGCCCACGTGGCCAATGTCAAGAACTTGGGGTGGTGGGGTGGTGTCAGGGCTAAGTACAGGGAGTCCTCAACTTACGGCCACAATCTAGACCAAAATTTATAATGTTAAGTGAGAAAATTGTTAAGTGAGCCTTGCCCCTTTCCACGACTTCTAGCCACATTTGTTAAGTGAATCGCTGCAGTTGTTAAAAATTAGTAACACAGTTAAGTGAACCTGCATGTCAGAAGGCTGCAGGTGATCACATGACGCCAGGAACTGCAACCATCATACATGTGAGTCAGTTGTCAAGCATCCAAATGTCAATCACGTGACCATGGGGATGCTGCAACAATCATAAATGTGAAAATGATCATAGCTAACTATTTTTCAATGCCACTGTAACTTCAAACAGCCACTAAAGGAACTGTTCTTAGTAGAGGTCTGCCTGTATATAATGCCACATATGAACCACATATAAAAACACCCGAATATAAGCTTTCCCCAAGGAGAAATCAGAAAGATCGGAAAAGCAATTTCTCGCAGGAAAAGGAGGGTGGCTTAGAGGGGCAGCAGTAGCATTTTAGCAACGACCAGCAGGCATTCGCACGTAGCCCTAAACGTTACCTTTCTAACAGGCTGCCCTGCAAGGATTTGACAGCCACCGGGATCCTCCAGTCCGCGTGACGCGCGGAGGACACGGTCCCGTAGGCCCCGCGGCTGACGAAGCGCTGGTCCGGGAGCTTGTTGGAAGAGATGATGGGCAGGGTGTAGCTGATGTTGCAAGGCGAGCAACTGGCACCGTTCCCGCCCTCGGGGCCTCCGCTGTTCGTCCTCATGCTGCAGTCAGAGGCCATCAAACTAAGGCCAGTTCTCCGAAACGCGCCCCTCCTTCGCGAGGGAGTTCAGGCAAGGGGTCCCAGGCGACGCCCGGCGTGGCGCACCTATCCTTTCCAGCGACCCCCGACAATCTCAGCCAAGAGATCTTCCGCGATTCGCTTCCAAACCTTTTTTCTTCGCATCACATCCTACTCTCCTAACTGGCTCTTCACCGGCGGTTCCTCCGAAACGTCCCGAACTTCAATCGACTTAAGTCTACCAGCCGCTCATAATATCATTCCCCAATCGTTCTTTCTCGGCCGCCATCTCTTCCTCTCCGGAGTCCGGCGAACTTTTTAAGAATCTATTCTCCGCGAACTTTTTTTAGGAGCCGCTCAGCTTTCCTTTCCCAAAACTTTCCTCCCGCCCACCTCTCGACGCGCCTTCTCACACTTCCTCGCCCGGAACAGGTGACCGAACTTTGCGCCAGGTACGGGATTGCGCTTTTGGTCTTGTGATTCGCAGGACGGCGTGGCCTTCGAAGGGGCGGAAAAGAACCTTGGGGCACCGCGGGCCTCGGGAGAGATCCAAGGTTTCGAAGGTTCGGAAGCCGAATCGGGCCACTTGCGACTGTTCTGTTTCGGGCAGAAGTAGTAAAACACGGAGGACGAGGGACGCCGAAGATGCCCGCGTCAATGGCGCCCTAAACTCTCCAGGGTCCCGTTTTCTCGCGGGGAACTGGATACTCCTCCCCACTCGGAGAGTTGGGCAGCTCTGAGGAGAGGAAGGCGGTGTCTCGGCTGCGTTCTCAAAACTTCCGACTCCCTACAGTATCCCGGAAGACCACAAACTCACAGACTTGAAAGTCTGGCTAATGCCCGCCCCCTTATTGTCGCTGCGGGTTGGCGGTTCTCCTCCCTTTAGTTGCTTAAGGCGGAAGCATTCACGTAGTAGATCCTTTGGCTGGAAAGCCATCAGCTGACTTTGGAGAGGACTGCGGTCCCCTAATACAAGCTACTCGATTTACGGCCACCAATTTATGTCACTAAGCGAGACATTTGTTAAGTGAATTTTGCCTCATTTTACAGCCTTTCTTGCCACAGTGCTAAGTGAATCACTAGTTGTTAAGTTAGTAACACAGCTGTTAAGTGAATCTGGTTTCCCCATTGATGTTGCTTGTCAGAAGGTCACAAAAGTAGATCCCAGCATCCTGGTACACTGCAACTGTCATAAGTATGAACTAGTTGCCAAGCGGCTGAATTTTGATCATGTAACCATGGGGATGGTCGTTAAGTGTGACAAACAGTCACCAGTCACTTTTGTCAGGGCTCTTGTAACTTTGAGCGGTCGCTAATTGGAACTGTTGTAGGTTGAGGATTGCTGTAGTTGCAGGCAAGCAAGAAGAAACATATCTGAACTCACAAACTCTTACTTATTTTAATTTATTTTGTCAATGCATTTGATGATATATATATAAATATAAACATGTTTATTAATACATGAAATAGATACAAATAAAAGGGAACATTGGGACAGGGACGGTAGGCACATTGGTGTACTTATGCACACCCCTTACAGATCTCTTAAGAATGGGGTGAGGTCAACAGTAGACAGTCTGAGGTTAAAGTGTTAGGGATTAGTGGAAGAAACCACAGAGTCAGGTAGAGTATTCCAGGCACACCACTCTGACCACCCTTGCTGAAGTCATATTTCCTGCAATCGAGTTTTGTGCGGTTTTAATTTATTTATTTATTTGTTTGTTTTATTTATCATTTATTCATTTAGTTTTATTTGGGCTAAAGTTGATAGGCAAGGTTTTATGGTGCAGTCCTGTGCCAGTCTTTCTATTTTTACAATATATAAGTATTGAGATTATCTAAGAAGCATCACTATCTTTTCACGGGGTTGTGTTTCATGTTAGCTAACCACATAATCTTTAATCTGTGTTTATATAACATTAAGACAATTCTCAATAAGCAAATAAATTTTGTCTTATTCAAAAATTCAAGCCTATCCTACCTCAGTGTATAAACCTCAATGAGGGGAAGTGGTCATGAAGTTTAATTAATGCAGAAGGCATAAAATATTGGTTTTTTGACAGTTTCCACAGGATCTAGTCTGGTTCCTTTCTGAGGAAAAGAGGAACTACTTCATATTTACTGAGATCAAAGAATCTAACCTAGTTTCCAAATAAACAGAGGCAGAAGTTTTTGGTCCTGCCCTGTGGTTTGTTTTAATCATGTGGAAGCCAGTGGAGAAGGGTGATTTCTGGAAAGCATGCCGAGTTAGGGTGCTTTTTCAAAGAAAGCGGAAGTTTTGTAAAAAAAAAAAAAAGCTATACTTTATAATTTGGTACCAAAATAGAAGAAACCAATATTAACAACAAATTAGTTTCAAATATGAGAAGTAATTCTCTTTCAATTGTTCCATAATTCCATCAGTCTTGAGAGAGTGTGGAGTCTCATAAAAATACTGATAAAGTTACCTAGTTTGGTAATAAAACGTCTCCCTCCTTCCCTTCCCTTCTTCTCTTCCCTCCCTCTCTCCTGCCCTTCCTCCCTGTGATTCTATAACATTGTACCTGCAGTTGCCTAGTACCAGTGTGCCTACTGTCCCCATTTATCTGTATGTACTTCCTTTGCTTATGTTTATGTTCATACCTATATGTGTTATCTTGTACATGTTTGACAAACAAAATAAAAAATAAATAAAAAAATACTCCTTGCCCTTTCTTTTGGCTTCAGTTCTCCCAATGTCTGCTGATTCTCCCTGGTTGGTTTTGATGGCCTCATGAGAAGATCTGCATGGAGAACTTTGTTCTGTATTAATATTCATTTTTAAAATTAATTAATTATAGTAAATCAATGTACTATAATTTATGAAAATAGGACATTGTGACATTCTTCCCCTAGAAACAAATTGTTGAATATTCCCAATTGGAATTCCCAAGCAAAGAGCAACTGGTCAGCATTCTTCACATATGGAAATTGGAAACTATTTGCTTTCCTGTATTTGGGAAATTCCTGTCAGCGGTCTTTATCAAATTTGGCATTTTCCTAGGTATTTACAACAGCCTTGGGTCTTATAAGCAGTCTCATCTATGATGTTTTGTAAAATGATGTACTATTTTCTATTTTTATGTATCTATTAGATTTAGATGCCACCCTTCTCATTTTGAAAAGTGGCTGCGCTAGTTTTTAAGTCCATAAAGTACAGAATTAGAAACCGAGTTCTATTTCCATTTGGATGATATAATTGATAAAATAAGGAGATCATATTTTATTACATATTTTATTAATTTAATATAGGATATTGTATCACGTGACATTAATTAACTGCAAATATTTCCAAATTCTGTAATTCTTCTCTTCTCATTGCTCTTTGCAGTCTTCAATATTTCAACTTTCATGATACCCAGCCAGTTTACATAGCTGCTCCATCTTTGTTTCTCTTTTATAGTTAAAAAAAAGAAGTGGAGAAACACCAGAATATATTTTAAAGTGTTGTCACCAGGGATTGGTGTGATGCACTGATGGTGGTGGTGGGGAGGTATTGGACAGAACTAGAAAGATTAGAAAGAAGAAGAAAAACTAGAAAGAAATATAAAGTACCCCGAGCCTTGAAAAAAAATAGGGTCATTCTCTTTCAGCTGTATTGACCCTCTAAAATAAGTTAAGTGGAAGGAATGTTCTGCACAATCTTTCAACGAAAAGATAGAATAAATAAGTAATAAAGAAAGAAATTTGACCCCTTTATGAAATTCTGTGTTTGAGAAAGGCTATTGTGCAATTAAAGCTTAATCTGGAAATGCCCTGGAGGAGGGCACCAAGCAGTGCCTATGAAAAAAGGAAAGTCCTTTGTTGAGGTAATACCCACAGCTTTGGCTCAGCTTCCAAGCAGAAAAACAGACTTGTCTCAGATCGTTCATAGAAGTCAGGCCAGGCAGAAATGCTGGGAAATTCCCTTACTCCCCCACCCCTCTTTCTGGCTAAGTTAGTTGTCAACAGGAAGGAGGAAATAGTTCAGCAACTCTACAGAAGAGCTGTAACAGCAACCAGAGATTCTACAGCTATATTGCTTTGGGGAGGAGGGTGGAAGGAGACCTCTATCATTACTATTTTAATATAGCAGCCTTTTATGCACGTTGCTTTGCACGTGGTCAGTTGGAGCCACTTGGAACATTGAATGGAAATTCCCATTGTAGGGATCCTGAATGTAGTGAAAATGAAACCAGCAGTTGGGGAAGTTGGGGGGAAGAAGGGTGGATTGAACTGGATTTCATCTTGTAGTGTTTTATTACCATTTTTATGCTAAAACTACTACGACACTATTTGTCATAACATTTGGCGATTGAACGGTTTGACAAATAAACCTTTGATTTAATTGATTACTTGTCAACCTCCCTGAAACAATTGAAGTTTGGGGAGTGCTTGAATTGAAATAAAATGTAGACTTTTTTAAAAAAAAAAGGTCCAATGAGTATCGATTGGAACTCTTCACTGATTCCTTTTCCTTTTCCTGCTTGCTCTCTACTGCCTGCTGTCATTCCAGGCTTCCTGATCACACCTTATCCTCCTGGGGCTGTTGGACCGGTTTCTTTCTGTCGTATCGGCCGATACGATCACAAAAGACGCGAGGCAGTGACTGGTTTTAGCTCTTTTTATTCAGGTTTTAAAATCTGCCGCTGGCTGGGTATGCGGCAGCTTATATTGAACTGGTGCTGGGCGCCGCGGCCAATGACAGCCGTTCGAATCGCCCACGATCGGCTCGGCCAATCGCGGTCGATTCAGAACGGCCAATCAGTGCCGCACGCTCGACCAATCCGGTTGCTGTGCGCTTGTCCAATCAGGATTGCAGGATTCCAAGAATGCTAATGTCCATACAGAACACTTTCCACTCTCTTCTCTCCTCCCTTCCCCCCAATCTTTCCCCCCTCCCCCACAGCCTTTTCTTCTGTGTTTCTGCAAATCTCTGGGTTTCGCCTCTGTCTTTCAGTACCTCCCTCTTGTTTGCAGTTACTGCTTATTTTTGACAGTCCATGCACCAACCTTCCTTCCCAAAGACAGAAAGTGGAATGTAAATTATTACATGTGCTGTTGGTTTTGAAACCTGTTACTCATTCGGGAAAAATAACTTTCTCACTTTACCTTTCTCCCTACAGCCAATTAATTTACAAGTAAAATTTGGCTCAGTGGCATAGTCTTGCATTTCACTTGATTTGCTTTAAGATGTCAGAAATCAGCTTGGGTAACTTTGGAGAGAAGAGGCTGCAAATGAGCTGCCTGACCTGGAGAGATAAGGGTGGCCATCTAGTGACATAATGACATCACTAAAAGGGGCAGAGCCATTTTTCCCCCCTGAGCCTATATTAGTAGAGTGGGTTGGATACCGATGGATGGGTGGGTGGGAGCAATTCATTGGAGGTAATTCATTCTCAACCCCACCCTTATTACATTGACAAATAAAGACTGATATCACAAAATTTGAGCTGACTTGGGCTATTTGGGAAGTTTTTAAGGGCAAGGTGAGAATCGTTTGATTGCCCTTGCCTCTTGTTCCCATATACCAGAAAGCAAAATGATTGGCAAAATTGGATCAAGAAACAAGATTTGATGCCCATGGATTTAAGGGATAAGGAGAATCAGTGGTGGAATTGGGAGCATTTGGCTCTATGTTGCTACCGTGTTTCTCACAAAATAAGGCCGGGCCTTATTTTTTTTTTGAGCCCTGAAAAAATGGCTAGGACATCTTTTCGGGGGTGAATTATTTCCCCCCACCCTCTGCGCACCAGCACTGTCTCC